GAAAGAAGAGAAGAAGCAGCGAGTGATTGATGGGCGGAGAGCTGCACTCGAGTTCCTGGTCTCAATGGAAAAGTGCATGGGAGAGATGGGAATTTGCATGAGATGCGCGAACCTGGCCCACGACGGCGACTGCAAGAACTATGAGGAGGCTGCTGGGAATGAGAAGGCGATGAAGAAGATCCGTGAGCTTCTCAGCAGCGATCATGTTTCCTCGGATGAAGAAATGGGGGATACGGAAGAACCGTCCTCATCGACGTCCAAGGGACGCAAGAAAGGAGGACAAGAAGGGAAAGAGACAATAGAAATGTATAGCTATACCATCAATCTGGTGGAGATGGCTGACACGGCTGAGGGAGGAGAGCTACAATGCGGTGGCGTGGACCTCACCTACAATCCGTGCGGGGACAACAGAACGTTCAAGACGACGCTAGAGCGAGGGTGTGACACCATCCCATGTTACATCCCGAAGTTCGGCGACGTGAGCGATGTGCATATGCCATGGGCGTACGCATCTATTGTTGACCCCAAGTACTTTCCCAAGGGTGCCATCCTTGAACAGGTGGATGTGATGCAGCTTGGCAAGAGCGTCAATTTCTGCGTTGCTCCCTTTGACGGTGCTCCACTATGCAAGATTGGCGACGATCGCTCGGTATTTGCTACGAGAGATCAAGCAAACCAGCTATCTCACAACCTGTGCAGAGTCCTTCGACACAAAATCGGCAATTGCCGAGGAAGTGTTTTCAGATGCGATGAAGGTGGATGGGTCGACATCGACGCAGTCATTGACGACCGGAATAACGACATATTCCCACGTGTACTTCGAGAGCAAAACGATACATGGGCATCATGGAAGTGATCAAGTGGCAGGAATCCGGACACAAGAAATCGAGGTTTCAGGTCCTGGCAGCAAGGTTTCCAAGCGTCATGAACTCGAATGACATGAAGGCGGCCAGGGAGGAGTTGAACTATGCTGGCCTGGATCGGGATGACATCGACAGGATGTTCAACAGATGCGATGGATGGTACAGGCCTTGGTGCATCCGAGTCACAACTGGTCACAGTGATTTTGGATTCATGAGCTCATCCGCACTGGCAAATAGGTATTCTGCAAGAATGGGTGATTCTCTCGGAGGAGCATTCCATGTGACGTATGTGGAGAACCTGACGAGCATCGTACGCTGTGGGCTAGTCCCCGGCGGGATCGATGGCGGAAACAGGCTAGCGTTGCACTTCGGAGCATTTGCTCCATGGGATGAGATGAACGTAGCAACGAAGGTGACGCTACGAAACGTAAGGTCGGGGGATCCGATTGCGATCATCTACATTCCCAGTGCAACCCTCGCGCGGTATGGAGCTGGAGTCGCGGCAAATGGGACATTCATGGTCTTTGACGTGATCCCGTTCTATGAGGTCAAGTCCATTTGGATTGGCAAAAGCAACGGAGGGAGATGCCTGGAGTACGAGGACGTCAAGCGAGCGTACTCAAAATGTGTGGAAAACGAGATCTGTCCGGGTTTCGTCGATTCCTCCCAGGAATCGGCTGCGATGTTCCTACAGAACGTCGCGAAGATCAACGAGAGGATGCCTGAGACCGAGGCAGGTGCCGACAATCTGCACTACATCAAAGACATGGTTGATCGTGCGTGCAAACTGTTTCGGGAAAACAAGCTGGAGGAGTTTGATGCGCAGACCAACGAGATCAGAGACGAGATCAGCAAAGTCGTCATCCTGAATGACGTGACATGGGAAGGGCTACGATGCCGGATATGTCCGTCATGTGCGACCGCGATTCCCACATGCTTCTGTGTGTGCCTGGAATGTGGGGCGCAATTGATCTCTACCGGGAGATTTTGCATCCACATCAGTTCCGACGACGATGGGGACAACAAAAGGCCCAATGTTTCGGGTGATGCCAGGCGCGCGCAAGACGAAGCCAACCATGGTGCGGCAGCACAGGAAGAGGATGATGAGGCGGAGAACGTTCCTGAAGACGACGACATGGACACGCAAGGATACACGTCCGGCTACATGTCTGAGGAAGAAGATGGCGGTTGGCAATACCGCGACAATGACTTGGCATCGCGGGATATCATTAATTCCCAGCGGATGGCGATTTGCCTTGATGAGCCGCGCGAAGCTCAATACATGGCGGAATTCATCGCGCTGCAGATGTCAAAGATGTGGGGGATGTTCGAAGGTGGTGAAAAGAGAACGATCGATGCCGCGCTCGAAGGGAAGCTAGGCTGCCCATACCACAACGACTTCAAGAAGTACCCCAACATGACTGAGCACGATCAGGAAGGGATCCTGTTGCCGTCAACAATAGTGAAGATTAGCCAATCTCAGAACGTTCGGACAAGGACCTTCCGGTCGGCTGAGGAGCGTAATGAATACATTCGTCTGATGGTATGCAAGTGCGAGGGGCTATACATATTTTACAAGCTGTGGATTGCAGCGAAAATCCTCGACATCACCAAAGACGAAATGAAGCTCCTGGTCAAGGATCGCGTGCACCCGGTGGGTGATATCATTTACAGATGCTTCTCCCTGGCTTTCAACTGTAAATATATATCGTTCGTAAGGGAAGGCTTGAACCTTGGCAGACATGGTTATTCGGTCAATGTGAGCGCCATTATTGCAGCCACTGACCCGAACAAATGCGACACACCTCTGCTGGATTGGTGCCTCCGAATGGGGCATTGGATACCAGAAGATCATCACAAGAAGTGTGTCCGGGCGCGAGAAGCCCAAAAGAATTTGGACGAAGAGTTCCGTCGACGTACCCACAGACTGTCCATTGGGGACAGGTATGCGTAATGCAGATGTGGATTATTATTGCTTATGCGGTGCGGTGCGCCCGCCAACAGCAATACATATATTCACTCCGATGTTGATTGCGGCACGGTGTGGGCTAGTCCCCATCTATTGCTTGCGTCTCATCAATGTCATTGCGATGGAACGACTCTACATCATGATATGATTTCATGCGTCCAAGATGAATGGATGTGTATACATTCACATATTCCGACGGCTATGACATTCCGGATATTCATGGATGGAACTATTACCTCATGGATGATTTCCTTTTCATTATATATATATATATATATTATTCATGGTACCTGGAATGGCTATGTTTTGCATTGATTGCTCACCGATATTTCTTTGCCGGTGATATGCAGATTACTTACGATCATGCGCTGCTGTGAACTTCTATGGCCAACCCATTTCTGTGGATGACGGCTGCGCGATGCGCAAATGCGGCAGCTGGGATGTTCAATGGTTGCGTGATGACGTGAGGTAGTGCATACCTTGCATCTGTCTATGGGAATGTGCTACGATTTGAGGATGCACGTTCCAGTTTCAATCGAACCCGGCAGGTTTCACAATGAATGAACGGTGTAGCGATAGCGAGTGAAAGAGTGCTCGACACAATTTCGTAGCTGAAGCCGTGGCCATTGGAACGTTTGGACCGCATGATGAACAATGCGACCCAAATGGGGGATGTTAAAACCCTCCTGGCCTCGTGCCTAAATTGGGAAGCAGTTCTGAGGTCCGTGTTTGTGTTGCTTACAAGGTTCCATTGATTGCCATTTGGCTCAAGTCACAAGTGAGGTTCAAGATCTTATGTGAAGCTGCGTTCATACGTGATCGGCAGTTGAGAGCGGAAAACACTTCGCTTGCGCTGCATTTGTCAGGACCACTGTTGTAACTATTATTCCTTCTCCCTTACAACAGTTACACGGGTTCGGCTATAACGGTTTGACCGTATACACCTTTCTACGTGGTTGGTATTTACAGCTGGAGGGTTCGGTGGACAGCGTCCCACGGGACGTCACCTTGCCGTCTCTTGACATGTTTGTTATTAGATGAAAGTTCGTGTGTGTTTGTGTTCTTGCGTGCGCATAAATGTGTATGTTCACGTGTGCAGTCGACATGTGTGTGTTCCGTTGTGCACATGTTTGTGTTCACATGTGCGCATGTATGTCTCCCACGTGTACACATATATGATCATATATTTGTTCACGTGTACACACATGTGTGTTCTTATCAGGCACGTGTGTGTGTTCCAGGTGAACACGTTTGTATTCAGATGAACACTTGTGTGTGTGTTCCACGTGTACACATATGTGTGTTCCACTTTCACATGTGTTTGTATTCCAGGTGGACAGATGTGTGTTGCATGTGAACACAATACTATGTGCTAGATGAACTTTTTGTTTTGCACCTGACGACATAATTGTTCTCCAGAAAACGCTTGATTGGTTTCGAGGTGAGCGCATGTGTCTGTGTGCGCTTTAGGTGAGCATTTATGTTTGCTCACGCGTGCACATATGTGTGTTCCACGTGTGCGCACATGTGTGCTTTAATCACACACGCGGTGTTCCTGGACACATATTTGTGGTCTAGTGGTACACATATGTGTGTCCCGCATATACACACATGTGTGCTTGAATTGCACGTGTTTGTGTGTTCCAGGTGCACACATGTGTGTGTGTGTGCTTTAAAAGAAGCACATGTTGGTTTTCCAGCTCAACACATGTATGCCGCAGGTGAGTGTATACGTGTGTGTTCACGGGTGCGCATTTGCGCGTGCCGCGTGTACTGTTTCAGTCGTATACATATGTGTGTTCCACATGTACACACACACACACATGTGTGTCTGAACTGGACATGTGTGTTTGAACTGCCTATGTGACCGCGCGCTTGCGCAGCCACGCTTGCGTTCACGCGCGTGCGGTCGCCCGCTATCGCACGCGCTCGCCCAACCTCAGTTCCTACGCGGCGCTGAAGCGCGAAGCGCGCCAGCAACACACGTGCAGCGACGCAACGCGTGCCGGGTTCATGACTGCATCATTTTGATTCCGTGTTGAAGCGCAGAAAGCCGCAAGCTGTTGGCATGTTTGTGCTTGCCCGTCAGTCCTCAACTGCGGGGTCTCTGCTGGTCTAATTGTTGTCCTTTCACTCTGCTTGAGCGTCTGTTGGAAATGACCAGTGAGGCATTACGGAGCCGTGGCATTTCTGGGTGGGCCGCGCAATGCGATCACGGCCTCCGGCTTAGTGCACGCCGCCTTTTGGAATGACATTGCGCTGGGCAAGAGCATCGGCGAAGCCTTCGTGGCAGGTTGGAACAACGTGGCGCTGAACCACATAGATCAGGCAACGGATGCTGCTCAGAAGACCGCCGAGTATGTGATGATGAACATCGCTCTGATGGGGGACCCGGCCTTCAAACTCTTCATTCCAAGTGCGCCGCAGCAGCGGTTGGCTGAAGTCGTCCAGTTGAGCAATGGCCATTTGAAGGTCACAGGTCCGCAGCAGTGGACCAAATTCAAAGCGGATCAGACCTTAGCTGATGAGTGGAATTGGCGAGGAAATCTCTACTACTATGGGGCTCCTGGAGCCACGCCACAGAAGATGTGGCATGGAAGTAAGCTCCACGATGTTGAGCTCCCCTACCTCTACGCGCGCCTCACCACGACGGAGGACGTGGTGGGCTTCAAGGCCTCAGAAGTGCCCCTGCCCCTGGGCTGGACGGGCCCTGATCGCGGACGCGGCTATCCCGGTTCCGCCGGCACCAGCTTGCACGAGGACCGCCACGCAGATGGCAGCAAGACTCTCATGTGGCGCGTGCGCCTCCTGGACTACGACTGTGAGACCGGGGAGGTGACGGGCCAGCTGACGGAGCAGAGCTACGAGCTGGTCCTCGGTGCTTCGGAGCTCACGCCCCATGACTTGTGTCAAAAGGGCTGCGTTGAGGCTGGGTACTGTTGCGGCCGCGACAGTGGATGCGGGCGGCCCAGCTGCGGCCAGGGCTGCGAGATTGCTCTTTATTCTGACACTCTCTACTCTTGCATCAACGAGTGTAAAGCCAAGACGGGATGTTTTACATGGAGCATCGCGTTCGGGCAGACCAACATGTGCACCGTATGCACCGCTTCTGGTGGTGGCTCATGCGCTGAGAACTGTGAGCCTGAAGGTGGATGCGAGTATGCTTGCAGGAGCATGAACTTGCCTGCCCCTCCTACGACAACCTTGTCAACAACACTGGCTCCGGTTGACATTTGCAAGGCGCAATGCAGCCAGGAGCGGGTGCCAAAAGATGATGTAGCGATGTAGCGATGTAGCGATGTAGCGATGTAGCGTGTTGCTCGTTTGTGGGGATAAGTTCGAAGATGTTTGAACGATTATCAGCGCAGGACGGCTTTTGCTGTGGCCGTGACAGCGGTTGCGATCGACCAAGCTGTCAGCTCGGCTGTGAGATCGCCTCCCAATCGAGTACTTTGCAGGCTTGTGTGGACACCTGTAAGGCAAGCTCGGGGTGTTGGGTTTCGGTCTCCGGTTTTCCCACCGCCAACATGTGCACGGTGTGCACTCCGTCAGCTGGCGGTTCCTGCAGCGAGAACTGCGAGACCGCCGGCGGCTGCGAGCACGCGTGCTCCGTGATGCTCGCAGGTTGACTTCCTTTCAGCCACGACATGACTTTATGAGTCATTTGCTGTCAGCCAGCGGCGCACCCATATGGCCTTTCAGCCTGGCAGGCGTAACCTGTCGCATTGCTTCGAGTCACAGCTGACAGAAAGCGCTCACTTTTATCTTTCAAACCAACTTTCAAAGAGTTTGTTGTGGATGTTGAGAAGGGACACGCGCACATTTTGATTTGTCGGACAACGGAAGGATCGCAATTGCTCAAGTCTGGCAAAGTCCAGGCCACGGCATTCAGTGCCTTCATGAAAGCATGTGTCGATGCGAGCCTCACATGGCAACTTGCGTCATTACATCAGCGTTTCAGTTGTTCTTGACTAGTGACCGAGCGCGTTTGAACCAATGGGACTTGACTTTCGCAGTCCATGAATGAGGCTCTTCCAGTCCCCAAATTTCATTTCACTGCTTCCTCCGCTGTTCACTTGAAGCCATTCCCCGAAAATTCCTTAATTTCTTGGACCCCCAAAATCAACGCTTCCCTTGCAGTTCATTTGAAGCCACCCGAACTTCCCTCGGACCAGTTCCGGTCTCGTGGTTCCGTTCTTCTCGGTGCCATGGGCCATGGAAGGCGTCCGCTCGCCCCGCGTGTCGGTGGGGGTGCCGACGGTGCTGGGCGGCTTGGATGAGGTGCTGTACCGGGAAGCCGAGGAGCGGCGGCAGCGGCAGGCGGGGGTTCGGTCAGACGGTCAGTGTGTCATGGGGCTGTGGGGAGGGAGGGGAGGGGGAGGGAACCCAAATCAGCTTTTTTGCTGCTTATGGGCGCTCTCTCCCCCCCAATGAGTGTGGTAGGTTCGGTGGCTTAAATTCAAGGGCTGCGTGACTTACCGAAAGTCGCTAAAACGACTAGTTGCATATTTATGGAAAGTGAAACGGTTGACGAATGAACTTTCTCTTTGGTCACTAACATATAAACCTTGAAACCATCATAGAACCAACAGTCCATGGTTGCTGTGGGCGGGTCTCCGACTTCCGACTTCCAACGTCCAGGACCTGCGAGAGCGGGATGCGCTGCTGGCGCTGAGGCAGCAGTCCGTGCCGCGCTTGGGCCGGCGGTCCAAGGCCTGCTGGCACGCGCGCTTGGAGCGGGAACTGCTCAGCGCCTTCGAGCGATGTGGAACACATCGGCTGATGGAGATGAGCCAAAGGCGGGTGCTGGTGCTGCCCCGGTCCGGCGTGCACGAGGTGCTGCGGAACTTGGGCTTCGAGGCGGAGGTCCAGTTCTGCGGCAAGCTCGGGGTGCTGCTGGACAGGGAGGAGACGGGGATGATTTGCTTCGACCGGCTCCTGCACTTCATCGCCAACGCCACGGATACCGAGCGGGCGCCACCCAGACCCTTGTCCAGCCTGGAGGAGGAATGTTTCAATCAACTGGAGTGGCAGCTCAGCCGTGAGTTCTGCCAGATGCTGGCCACTCGTCACAGCCGCGCCACCACAGAGTCGTGGCGGCGTCGTGAGCTGTGTTCGGAGAGCGCCACGCCCCCGGGCACGCCGCGGAACGCGGCGGCCACGACGCCGCGGGCGGCCACGCCGCGTTCCCGGGCAGCCACGCCGCGGAACGGGACGCCGCGGAGTCCGAGCCCCGGGGTGGCGCGGTGCCACCTGCTCTACCACCAGGCGGTCTTTGCGGCCCGCAAAGGCGCGCAGCTGGAGGAGAGGGTCTCGGAGCTCGTTTCTTGATTTGTCAGGGCGTTCTGGCCACTGTTGTTGGCCGGTAAGGGACTTGAGGCATGTAACGGGACCGGTCGGAAAAGGGCCAATGGGATCGCTTGGATACAGGGTGAGTGAGGTTGACAGCAGTTGCCTGAGGCCTCTGGGGGAAGAGGGGCCTTTTTGCCACAGGACGAGATCAAGCAGCTGAAGCTCTTGAAGGTGGGGCGGGGATCATGTTGGGCTGGTTTTTGCACATGGTCCTCATGGACAGTTTTATGCTGAACGTTTTGAATGTTAAGGCACCTTGTCTCTTCAAGCTAGTGGCTGCTGTCCTTGCCAGAACACTGTTGGAACCTCTTTGTTTTCAGTTACCCGGGTTTGTTTCTTCAATGTGCCGCGGACGACGCTGTTTGCCCCAAAGAAACTGGTTCCTTGCGCGGTTCGTAGCTCTCTCGCGTCGTTTCTGTTTGGATGCTTTGGAACAATACCCAAAGAACTTGTCTTCAGGACTCTCCCATCTCCCATCTTTTCCCCTTGATTTGGGATCTCAAAGGACCCGGGCACCCCAAAGGGGTGGCTTGGAATGGACTTGACTGAGCTTCCGTTCAGTCAAGAAGCTAAACCGCGAGGAGATGGAGGAGTGCACCTTCCGACCCCAGCTGAGCCACTCGAAGTTCCGGCCCCCGTCGCGCACGTCTCGGACGGGTGCGGTGGTCCGGAACTTCGAGTCGACGGTCGCGCGGCTCCAGGCGGCGCACGAGGCCCAGAGGCGGCAGAAGGCGGAGAGGGAGCGGATCCCGGTGGGGGCGCCCCGGCGGAATTGGGAGTGGGGTTCCTATGCCTTATGTTTTTTTGGCAGGTGTTTTTTTTTGGGTCCTGTTCTGGGTTTTGGCGCTGCCGTTTTGTGTTGTGTCATGTGTTGTGCTTGTTGTTTGTTTTGTAAATTTTGTTTGCTTGCTTGCTTGCATGTGTGTGAGGAGGTTGACGTGCAAAGGCTTGGTTTTCGAGGGGCGCCTTTGCCAGAGGTTCCGGTTTTTCGTTTGTTTGTGTTTTTTAAGGTGGCTTTTTCTTGTTGTTGTTGTTGTTGTTGTTGTTGTTGTTGTTGTTGTTGTTGTTGTTGTTGTTGTTGTTGTTGTTGTTGTTGTTGTTGTTGTTGTTGTTGTTGTTGTTGTTGTTGTTGTTGCGTTGGCGTTGGCGTTGGCGTTGGCGTTGGTGTTGGTGTTGGTGTTGTTGTTGTTGTTATTATTATTGTTGTTGCTTATATTATTCGAGTCGCAGTTCTTACTGTCGAGGCAGTCGCCTATTGTGGCATGCCGGCCTATTTTTCCTGCTTGGTCTTCTTGTTCTTGATCCTCGATCTTCTTCTCGTTATGCACTTAGACTTGCTCTTATTCTGCCAGTTCTTCTCGTCTTTTTCTCTCCCCAGTCGTTCTTCGTTCTGTTCTCACTTGTTTTTGTTTCTCCTTTTATCTTCTGCAATTTTGAACGTTTCACTTTCTTTGCACTGGGCTTTATTTGTTTCTGTTGCTTGCCCGCTTACCAAAGTTCGCTTGCGCTTTTTGTTTGTCCCTTTTTTTTCTTCTTCTCCTTCTTCTTTTGTTTCTTGACTTTATCCTTTTTTCTTTTTCTTCCGCTTCTTTGTCCAAGTTGCAGCTCTTGCAACTTGGGGCTTGGGTCAAAACCAATGGGATCCCATTTAGGGGTAGGTGAATTCACTACCCATTTTCGAACCTACTTCAGTGGTTGATTTGAATCGGATGTTCACTGGGGGGTACGATTTGGGTTTTGACCCATGCCCATATTGGTCAACGTGAGTTTTTCCAGACCCCCTATTTAATTGCTGCTCAGCAGGGAATGAGGGAATCAGGAGATTTCCTTCAAGGAAACAGGGGATGGTTTGTCGGGGTCATTTGGGGCATTTGGCTTAGGAGAAGTACGAGAAGCTGCGTCGCCTGGGCCCCGAGCCCTTCTCCTGCGCGGGGCCGCGCGCGCGGGTGGCGCCGAAGCCGGCGCTGGTGGTCTTCGTGGATGTGAAGGTGCGCGGGCGCGTGGGCCGCGTGGGGGTGCACGAGAAGGCGCGGGGAGTGGGGGTTTGGGGGGTTGGGGGGGGTTTGGGGGGGGGAACTGTTTGGGGGGCGTGAAGGTTGCGGGGAGATGGGGGGTTTGGGGGATTTGGGGGGTTTGAGGGGGGGGACTCGGACATGTTTTCTGTACTTGGAGAGCACTGGAAGTTGTGGGGAAGCGGGGTTTGGAGGGGGGGGAGTTTTCTGGTGCTTGGAGATCAGGAGGTTTTTTGAGGAAGCGGACGAGGGGGTGGGATGGAAGGTTGAAGTGAAGGTTCTATTCAGTCGACTAAGGGGCTGCTGCTGCTGCTGCTGCTGCTGCTGCTGCTGCTGCTGCTGCTTGTGGGGGTTGTTCCAATTTGATACTGATTTTCGGGGTCGGAATTCAATTTCTCCCTCCCCCCCCGGCCATGTGGGTATGGGTCAAACCAGAGAACCGCAGGTTTTAGTCTTTGGTTTCATTTGCCAGGGTTTCATGGTTTCATTTTAGGCACGCATTTTTGGCCCATAGCCATGTGGCCCGTTTGGTCCAGGAGGACGTGCGGAAGTTGGCCCGGAACTTCGCCAAGAGCTTCCAGCTGGACGCCGGCGCCAAGGCGCGGCTGGAGGCCCTGCTGCGCTTGTCCTACGCCTGGCGCGCCTGGGCGCGGCCGAGTTCTCGCTGAAGCCGACGGGAATCTTGGGGCTTTCTTTTCTTGGTGGCTCCCAGCCATCCGGTTCCTTAGCCTTTTCGATCCTTTTAGTGTTTAGTGGGGATATCCCCTTAGCTTGTCGGATCCCTTTAGTTGGTTTAGTGGTTGGATTTCCCTCGAAGCGTGAAACTTTCAGCGGGGGATCTGAGGACAGCCCAGTTTTGAAGGAGGAATGGCTGTGGTTGTCGAACATACGGTAACCCCCATATGGGTTGCGCCTGTAAAAATGGGGAAACTGCGGGTGAATTCCTGGTGGTTGAACTTTGATCCATACCCAAATGGGACTGCCAAGAATTGAGATCGGAGAGGATGGGGCTTCCTTGTTGCAGCTTGCTGCGGCCTTGAAGATCTGGGCTCGACATCCGGAGTTGCCCACATGAGGGGCCGTTTTTGTGGTGTCCGATCATGAAAACGCAGCACAGGCAAAGACTTCACAAACAGAAAGGACAGATTGATTGATTATTGGAGCGGATCAAGCTGCAAGTGATGCCTTGCATCAGCAATTCAGTGGGCGACCCATCGCCGGTGAGGTTGACGCGTTGCAACCTTTTGCATGGTGCAATGGTAGGGCAAACTCGGCCAATCAGGTTTGAACATGGCATGTTTGACCAACTGGGTGCCAGTTGTGAGAGGTTCAACCGGAGAGAGCGGGCTGTGGAATGTTGAATTGAAGGGCTTTGCCTACCCCTGCCCTGAAATTGGCCGATTCTGAGCGGTCCGGGTTAAAAAAGAAGCGCCTTGACGACGTTGCTGGTTGTAAGGCTTGCGATGCATGAGCAGTGATTCACATGTGAACGCAGGGCAACTTCAACGAAAGCATTCCATCTTCCTCTGAATGGAAATCTGGGATAGGCGGCTTCCCCGCACGGTCTATGCGCTCGAAGCGAAGTCATTGTCATCCTTTCACTGCAGCAGATTTTGAACCGCAAGATCAAGAGAGGCAGTTGAGCCTGGACTCGCATTTCATGCCCATCCAGTGGTTCAAAGAGCATTTCAGTTCTTTAGAACGAGTTAGAGCCATATGAAAGGTGCAGAGTGGTTTGTGCAAATTCTTAAAAGAGCCTGACACCTTGCACGCGATACTTCGGACCGTTTCCGTTTCCTTCCCCTCCTCCGTTTCTGCCATGACCTCTGGCTATTCACAGGCGCTGTCATGCTGCACCGATGCATGTAAGAGTGACTCCCTGCAGGAGGCCGATGCCGAGTACCTGAAAAAGACGACCCAGGTGTCCGGGTGTCTGCAGTCGACGTGGATCATTTTGCCTAAGCCCTTGGAAAACGCCGCACCACACGGGTCCTCCCGTTTTTTTGTGCGATGCGTGGCTCATGCTTTCAGTCAGGAGTATGTCCTGGCGGGCAGCGAGAAGCTCACCTCGCCAGAGGTGAAAGGCTACGACTTCAACCAAGGAAGCGGCTGGCCGTGAGTCTTTTGCGCTCTGGTGGACATGGGTCCAAAAAATCAAATCGTACCCCCAGTGAACATCCCAATCCCCGCTCAAATGGGGGTGCACCTACCCCAAAATGGTACCATTGGTGTTGACCCACGGCCATGTCTATAAAAGGGAAGCGCTCACACGCAAATAGAAAGCAGATCAATGCAGCAGCAGCAACAGAGCAGCGGCAACAAAAACAGCACCACAATGACGGCCAGCGCGACCACACCGCACACATCCATAGATGCATCCGTACACACACACACACACTCCACATTAGAGTGTAAGCAAGCTACGCCAGCAAAGCCAAACACAAATCAATAAACAAACCGACAAGCACACATTTGCAAAGAAGCAGCACATAGACAAGCAAGTCCAACAGCCTGCACGCACCATTGGTTTTGACCCACAGCCAAATAGAAAGCATGCCAATACAGCAGCAGCAACAGAGCAGCAGCAACAACAGCACCATCACCGCCACCGCGACCACACCGCACACATCCATAGATGCATCCATAGACACAGACGCACACTCCACTTTAGAGTGTAAGAAATCTACGGTTTCAAAGCCGACACGCACAAATTTGCAAAGAAGCAGCACATAGACCTGCACGCCCGCATGCAAGGAGGCGGCAAGCAAGCAAGCAATCAGAAAGCAAGTGTGTCACAAGTAGAAACACCAATGGAGAACACATTCAGGCTAATACAAGCCCATTTCAAAACACTTGTAACCTTGCAAACCGCAGTCTCACAAACCCATGCACAGACACAAAGCAAACACACAAACACACCATACACAATTAACAAACAGAGGCAACTAGCACACAAATACCTATGGCAAAAACGCACAATCAGACGCACCCACACACACACACACACACACGCAAGCCATTTTTCCTGGAAGGTTGCTTCTGTCTTGCGGGAGCATGCGTGTGAGGACTCGACTACGATGCATTGGTGGAGTCATACTTGCGCACAGGCGGGAGTACACATTTCGTTATTTCCTGCCTTTCCAGACGGGACAGCATGCCGGAGGTGTGCGTCATGGTTTGCTCCTGGGTGTTTGTCACAATTAAACCACCAGAAAACCGCAGGTGTCCATTTACCAGGGCAAGCCATTTTGGGGATTCCGTTGTTTGACCCACTGCCAACTCAAAACCAGCTAGTACATGTCTGATGAGGGCCGTCGAAAAGGTGTGCTCCCCCTCTGGTGTCTCAGAAAGATGTGGGCAGCACCCAAAACCACCCTTTGCCATGGTGTTGCCGTCGAAAAGGTGTGCTCCCTTTCTGGTTTCTGAGAAAGATGTGGGCAGCACCCAAAACCACCCTTTGCCATGGTGTTGACCGGATATCAGCCGCGGTGGCTTGAATTTTGCTGGGTGCAAGCAGATTGATTGCTAGATCTTGGGTGCTTAGTTAAAGTCTCGCGATGTTTTTGTTTTTGCTTGGCCTGGTCCTGAATCAAACGCTTCGGAGCCTGGCAGGCTTCCAGGCCACCAACTTGGGCAAGGCAAGCGGGTCCGATGGGATGGACATTGCGCTGTGGCCATTTGCACAAATGCGAGCACACACCGACAAGCACCTGCGCAGCTGACAAAGCACCAAACGACAAAGCGAGCAAGCAGGCTAGGAACAAGGCGGTAACTGGAAGAAATAGAAACAACGTACACACAGACAAAGCAAGCAAGCAAGTAAGCAAACCAACCAGACAAACAGGCAAACAAACAAACAAGCAAACACAGACACTGACAAAGGCCGACAAAGCCGAGGACACAGCGCACAACTTTTGCAAGCACATTTGCAAATGGTCGCATGCACACCATTTGAGAAGGGTTGCCCTCACGACAGCTAGGCGGGGTCATGCACACGCTCACTCATAAAGACGTACCCTGCGACCATCTTGCCCCCACACGACATGGCGCAGCGACTCACAACAGGGGTGCGTGACTCGCAAGATGTGGCAGGCTCACGACAAGCGCATTGCACTCGACAATCAAGCTGCACCACATCCTGTGGCACTGTGATTATGGCTCGAGTTTGGTGGCTTTTGCTGCATGGCAAGTGACACTCATGTGAGACCAGGGTCCTAGGCCCGTGAACCTAGCGTTGGATTGTCCGCTTGCCGTTTCTTCCAGTTTTGTCTTTTGTTTGGTTTGGCTCAACCGGTTTTCGGTTGACGCAACTGGGCCTGGAGATCAGGCCATCCAGGAGATTGACCGCATGCTGGACTGGAGCTTGGCGGACGACCCGGTGCCGGAGGATGAGGCACCTGGGGGGGCTGGGGGGGTCGGTCAGATCTGTTTGGAGGGTTCCCCTTTTGTTGGTTTTCACATAAAAAAGCCGAAAGGAAGTCACGAAAAAGCCGAAAGGAAGTTCGGAAGCCGAAAGGAAGCCGAAATGAAGCGGCAAGGAAGCCGAA